AAAAAAAAAAAAAAAAAAAACAAAAAAACATCTTGAAAGTAGTTGAACTGTCAACTCATCTTAAAGGCATATTTCAACCCCCTAAACAAGTATTTTACATAGAATTTTTTTTACTGTGAGATTGGGATACCATTTTTGTTTTCAATTCCTTGTTGAATGGTGTCATAAATTAATATTATTCAATTTAAGGTTCAAATGAAGCTGTTGATTGGTTACCCTGGAGTTGGGGGAAAATCACTGAAAAAATAAGGACTGCCAGATTAATGTCCAAAACCTTTGTTCAAAGTCAGAAACAAACTTTAGTAGATAGCACCCTTTTGTAGTCTGAATCAATTCATTTCGGCTAAGAGCAATGCTAAGGTCTTGGAGCTAAGACTACCCTTCAAACAGTTTTGATAGTCGGGTACTCTAAATTGGTCAGTAAACTTAGTGACAAGGTGGAGACTCACCAGAGATCCAAGGTTCAGAATAGACCTAAATTATAATGATGTCATGCTTTCTTTACATTTGCGCTTTCCTATGGGGACTCAGTGGATCACTTTCCACCTCACATCCATAGGAAAGCGCACATGTTAAGAAAGTATGATGCCATGCAACAGGTCTGTTGTAAATTGTACGTGCAGCAGACCTGTTGAGTTGCCTAATCAGGGATTTGCAAGAAACAATGGCTGACCAAACTGTTCAACAGTAGAACAATGTTACCAATTTAAAAAGTACCAATGCATGCATATGAATGTTATTGGTAGAATGCTTGAGATGCACATACATGTAGTCTTTTGTGTGTGAGATGACATTCAGTTCATTTGCATGCGGCACATATCTGCTTCAAATGCCATAGTTGCAATCTTAGGTAATATAGCCATCTCATTGTTGACTAACATTTTGTTTCCTCAGTGGTCTTTTGGAGTGGTGATGTGGGAGTTTTTGACCCGTGGGATGACCCCATATCCATCTGTGGACAACTGGGACATCTGTACTTATTTACAGAGAGGGAGGAGACTGCAGCAACCTATGCACTGTCCTGACCATGTGTAGGTTTCCAAGTGCCTTTTTTTTGCTTCTTGTTACATTGATAGCATGAGTCCCTATTTCAAATGGCCCACAAGCATGGAATGTGATAGTGTGCAAAAAATGTGGGGACGATGATGAAATCTCATTTTCAGAAACATATTTTGCTTAGTTAAGTTTTGGCATCTGCTCTCTTTTATTTTCTTTCTGATTCCATGGATTATCCCTCTTGAAAGTGCAGGATACCCAATCTATGCTCCTTGAGATTGGAACAATTATATTTCATTCTAAAATTTCCAAAAAAACTCTGTCTAAATTTAGAAGTTATTAGCTTAAGTACGTAAGAAAAAAGTTTGCCTAAAAATTACTGTAATCATGAGAAACCACTCTTCTGTGAGTGTTTGTCTTAATTAAAACTCAAGCAAACTCTAAGCCTAAACAGGGGCTAATGACAGTGTTAGCCAAAACCAGCGTATTAAAGTAGTTGTTATTTTGAAACTAGTCTTAGCCTACTGTTTATAAAACAATGGATACACAATGGAAAACAATTGTTGCATCTGACACTGTAAGTAAATGACCCAGTTCAGTATTTCAACACTGCATGCTCAAAAACTGTAGATCATATTTTGACATTTATATGCACATGCAAGGTTGGCGTTATAAATGTTGCTCTGTTGTGGCTCACATTCACTGTACGTATTTGAACTGACACCACATCGGGTGCTTTGTTTTGAAATGACCTTACTTTTTGAAATACAGAACTGGTTCATGTACTCAACGTGGCATAGGACATCTCAGATAAGGCATTTGAAGGCTTGTGATGAAATTTGGAATACCTCCTTTATTACATTAGATTAACAAAATAATTCTAATAACATGTTTTACTTAACATCATGTTCCTCAGCAGTGTGAAACCTATTATTTTCAAGATCACTATTAGTGACCCTGAAAATTTGTGGGTAGCCATGAATTTCAGACTTTGAAACACTGAACTGTGCCTTTAACTGAATAAGGCAGCCTCTCTCTTTCCGCATTGCCCAGGTATCAGATCATGATGAACTGTTGGTCTGTGAGCCCAGTGGATCGGCCAACATTTGATGACCTGGCAGGGCAGATAACAGACATCCTGATGGCATCAGTCAACCAAGAGTCAGAGGATCACGAGATCTATCTCAATGTGGTTCCAAGCATGAAATAAACTGGTATAGGGATCTTCTTTTTTGTCAGATCTCTATTACCATCAGCAACTTACAGGAATAGATGGTGACCCAGAAGGAGACCAGATGTGTTCCAGGCCGGTATCTGACTTGCAGGTCAGATTTGCATTGACTTGCACTGACTTCTTGTGGGTAGCATTACCAAGCGGTATCCATATGTTGTCTTCAGCATGAAATGATCAGATGTATCTTAACCACTTGCCGTTGAGGAGTCTGGTTTCGGGCACATATTCTTTGTACGCGTAGCCGGGTTCTCCAAATTCCGACAAAGGGAACTGGGCCTTGTAACAAAAGACTGTACCCATGACAAAAGACCAGGCTGCTGGGAATTACCAACATCTATTTACTCTCAATAGTGGTGATAATCCAGCCTTGTTTTGAAACAGTATACCATGGTTTGGGGTATTCAGCGCAAGCGGATTACCGCCTGGGACAAAAGTGCTCCACCACACAGTACTGCTGTATGCTAATCTGGCCCTTATTGAAAAGAGGTCAGCATTGCACTGTGCCAGTTTGGTGAACAAAAGAAAATTACGTAACACTGCACAATCTGGGCCCCTTTTTACAAGACGGCAGGCCTGGCTGAAATACTCCAGGGCCAATAGATGTTGTCTGTCAGATTAGAGTAGAAACCAGACAGTCCTTCTTGTGGGTGTAAGTGTCCAGTAAATGAAGATATGAATTTTTAAAGAATTTTGAAAACAGAAAAAAGGAAAATTATCCCGTCCCAGCATCATCAACATTCATAAATGCCCCTGGCGCCATATGGGGAGGGATCATTCGGTTGAAACCCCAACCTCTCCCTTCCCCCAGTGGAGAAAAAAAGCAAAAGAAGCGATGCTCTTGCTAAGTATTGCATTGTTAAATTTTGTATAAATTTCACCATAGAAACTGCTTGAAAGGGCTTGTAACTATGCGCATATATCTGTATAACTGATGCATTATTTAGGTTGGGTAAGTAATTGTTTGTAGATGGTTAACATTAGCTAACATTACTAACTGATCATAATTACAAAGCCTGTCACAGTTCTTAGTAAGCTTGGTAACAATTTTTGTAACACCATTAAAGTAGTGAAATAGTAGTATGCTAATGAAAGAATAATTTGCTCTACTTCTTAAAAGTCATCTGATTCCAATTTTTGCAACTCTCTTGAGGGTAGTATATAAAGTGAAATGCTGGTTACTCATGCAAGTTTGATGCCTAATTCTAAGAATTACAGTGTTCACCATGGTTTGTGGAGCTGATTCAACAACTGTTCTGTTACTATCATGAAATCATATGGAAATACATTTAGGTATTGCAAATATTGTGACTGTCCTTGTCTAGGTTACTAAAATATTACAAGAGTTGTGTGGATGTACCAAAGTCATCAAATCATTTGTAAATGTAAGTTTAATTTTGTTAATCTGATGCATGATACTTATGCACTTTGTGGCTGTATGTGTGTTTCAAGCTGTTATATAGCATTCTTTGGTAATGTTTATAAGTCTTACTCATCCAATTTACAGTAATGTGGGCTAAGTGACCATGACCAACTTTTCTTTCAGACTATTGCACTGAAAATGTTTGTTCATATCCCCTTTTCACAAAGATCACAGTGGATGCATCACAGAAGGACTTGACACATTTAAGTCTGTTTGCCAGAATCAACAGCAATCTTAAAGGTGATCAGCTAATCCCAACAGGCAGGGATGATTTCATTGGGGTAAAATTACTTAAATACAGATCTAGAAATGTAAGAATAAATTGTCCTGAATGGTGCCTTGAGTTTGGTTGATGAATAAGCTTTACTTTCCTGAAAGATGCTGTGAAATTGCTCATTGCAGAGTTTGCTTATAGAGATTTGTAGAGACATATTTACTCTTCTGAAATAAATGCAAATTAAATTCCTCATATTGTGTATATTAAAGACAACAGTACCAACCAATTTGAAATGGTTATACCATGTGCATGTACAATGTACATATTACTTCAGATTTAAAGAGCATTTTGATTTTAACAACACTCGCTGTACTGAATTTCAGCCAGAATACCAAGGATGATTTTTTGTACATTAAATGGGTTCACCATTGCATACCATTCCTTTAAAACATAGAATTCCAAGCAATCACTTTTTGATGCAGTAGTCTCATTAATGGACTGAGATACTTGCCACATGGATTACAGCTTCTTTGCAAAGTAATTTTTTGTACATGAATACTATTCTTTTGGCTTAACACATATTTAATTAAAATGATCTCATGATTCAAGACATAATCTTGTATTTTTTTTATGTCATCAACATATATATTAAAGTATATTTCAGACCTGTCATCTATTAATGCCTTCCATTTATTAAGGGTGGTGTTAAAATCAGTTTATTTTACTTGCCAACAAGTTAATTTCAAGAGTCTTACTGGAGTTTTATGAATGCATCAGAAAAATAATAACATTCGTAAAAGAAAACTGAAAAACTTTCCGGTGCACTACTTTGTAGCATTTACAGTTTAAGATGCAGTTGGCTGGAACATGATTTTTGTCTTGATGACAGGTCTTTACAAAGTTGTTTTGTCTGCAAATTTCAGTTGAAATCCATTGTCACAGCTATACTTATGTAATAGGCCGAGTTTTGACTTGTAACTGGATGATCGATCATCCACAAGTGGATCTGATAAACCAGCATCCCTGAAATAGAAAGTTTACCATAGCATGATAGCAGCATGCACGCATGGAGAGCAACCCAATTACCCACTTGGCACCAAGGCTAAATAACTTTCGATGTCTTTTCCCATGGTATGCCCCTGAGTTAATTGCATTCATAATCGGGGTACATATCTATCAGGTCAGCCGCTTGTATAACACGTGTTCTCATCTTTGCATCAACAAATAAAATGATAAATCAGTGTTGTTATTCTGCAAGGAAAATACACTTAAATCCGTACAACTCAGTTACTTTTGTTATTACACGTAAAAACACATGGAGCACAACGTTGGTTAAAGCTAGAGGACATGAAGAGAATGGAGGTTCCTAGGGGTCAGCTGGACATCACAGTGATCCAGTGAATCCAGTCTGCAAGAGCTTCCAACATCACAGCAACTATTTCAAACCACAGTGAGGTGCAAATCAATGATATTTTGGCTGCATCACAAGGCACAAGATAGTGCTGATCCTGGAAGACAAAGTTAAAGGGAAACAATCCAGAGGAAGGAAAAGGGAAATGGCTAGATACATTTTTTTACACCAGGGAATAGACAGGTCTGTCTGGTGCCCAGTGTTACAACTGCAGCTGATGGTAGGAAAGGCTGACGATGGATCATGAGGGCTTCTTCCAGGGTCGTTGACCTACAATAAAGTTGATGACTGTTGCTCTGTATTTTAGGGGCACTTGCACGTAGTGGTGTAGCTCATATACATGTATAAAATACAATGAACATACATGTACATACAATATTTTGGACATCTGTAATAAGAGAAATGAGGTTTCAGACCACAACTGCAGGATTGAGGACGCAGCAGGATTGCATTACCCAAATTCTGGTTTAGACTTCTTTCCAAAGGGTTTAGAGGGTTAGGCCTCAAAAGGTTTTCTGTTATTAGCAATGGGGACACATGCATTAAGTTAGCATATGACACCCACTATTACTAAGGATGATATTATGTACATGATTTCTGCAAACTTTGAATGCCCATACAAAAATACTTTTCCATCAAAACTTGAAAATTTGCATTTTTTCTGAAAGGTTTTTGTTCATTACAAGGGTAGTAATATCTATGAATTACTTCACATATAATCAAATCCAGTGACATTTCACGAGACACTTTCAAACTAGGCCCCATTTTACGACAGAAAGCATTGCATTGGGTTTTGCACAGAGCAACTGTGACAGAACAGTAGCTCCATTCAGTAGTTATCACAGTATTCATGGGGATGCAAAAACGGCCAGTATTGTGACACCATGGTTTACACAGTTCCCATGATTATTTATCCACATCTACTTCAGGGCATGCCTGCAGTTTGTCAGCCCAACTGGGAATTATTGCTGGGTAACAAATGTCCTGTCTTCATGCTTGAAGTCTTCAGGGCATGTATGATTAGGTGTGGCAGTCTGTGGATTGCGCTGTTGCACTGATGTTATGCAATCAGCATGAAGTCTGCTTCAAGACAAGTCTGCTTTAAAACGAATGAAAAGTAAACAAAGCAATCAATGGCACCGTGTCCTTTTTTATCCTTCACAATGAACATAAGCAAAACTTTATTCAAAATTAAAGGGCAACTTCCAACTTGTCTGTGTAGGAAACAGCACATATGGTTGCTGCCCTATTTAGACCTGAACTAAGAGATAACTACGCATAGAAAGTATGATACAACTGGACTTAATAGTGTTATATACACGTACACACTGTATACACCTTGCTCATATTCTTTGGCCTGTGTTTAAAGTCTGTTACATTAATTCACCAACCTACAGCTTTTATAATTATGTCTAGTGACAGACCATACAGAGAAAGTATTTGAAATTTCGTTAACTTTACAATTATTTGCCTTTCTAGAGTTTTAAAGCTTTTTCTGGAAAACTTGGCAAATATTTTATTCCTCTGTGGGTTCTGTACAATTTGAGACTTGCGTCTGTACACGTATGGACACTGTGAAATAATTGGTGGAAATGAACTAAGTTTGTGTTTTAAGTCATTCCATCTAATTTAACTGGATTTCTAATTTATAGGCCTGCTTGGAGCAATTCATCCAATAAAAGGTGAGGAAATATATCATCCAGCTACCAGAATTCAGACAGTTCAAACAAGAACATGAAAGTTGTAACAAGACTTTAATAATGTATTAACGATATATCATTAAATTTGACACTGAAAATGTAGTAATTAAATCATCTCAACAAATTTTACAGGACACTGTGTTCATCTCACAGATTTTCAGCTCTAAGCATTTCATCAATTCTTGTGATTTGTTCTCTGCTTTGAGATGAGTTTGAAGATGAATGCGGGCATATTCCCTTCAAAAAGCTGAAAGGCTGGCGATGAGGGCTGATCAGCTGAGCTAAGTAATGAGAGTCATATTTTCATTACAAACTCATAACAGAGATTTATATAGCATTACAAAAGAAATTTCAACAGGAAGAATCAGACATTCTGCTTAAGTTTTAATCCATCACTGAAGTTGAAATGTAAGTGAACAGGTTTTGACTTTTATCTATATCTGAGAAAGGACACTACAATTCCTGACAATATCAAAAACACCTGTTTAGTATTGGAGCCATTTGGCCACAATTCAACATCGAAAATAAACCCAATATACATGAAAATAAAAAAAAAGCAACCACTGATTTTGATATAAATGAATGATTGTAATCACTCTAATTTACAGCTAACCTACAAATAAACACACAGAAAATTTTCCATAGTTTCAGATCAAAGAAAAAAATCTAATCAATATTTCTTTATTTTTTTCGGAAATTATTTACATACATACGTTGAATTTGAGATAATTTCCTGCATGAAGCACCTTGTCCATATATGTATTAATTAATTTCTGTGATGGCCTCCGAATCTGTTTCTGAAACATTCAGGTTTCAGCATTTCAACAGGACACACAGGTTTCTCCCTCACAACACATTTCCTAGTCTTCTTTTATTGTGCATTTCGACCTTAATACAGAGCAAGGGCTACCTTCTATAATCTTTGTGAAAAATGAACAAAATCTTTGTTAACTTCATTAAAAATTCAAACCTTCAAAATGATAAACTGTGCACATTTACCAGGATCAATTACAATGCTTTCTTTGGGACACTGGGAAAGACAGAACACACTACGAACAGAATTTAATAATTCTCCACTTTTGGAAGAGGGTAGAAAGAAAATGCTCTATAAAGCTACAACAAATGACCCTGTTTTTTCACTTTTTTTCTTTTGATGTATCTGGATTTTGAAATCCATGTTATCAAGTGTGATAAAAACCTTGCCAGGCGTCAAGTTACCAAATCACATGAAAAGACTTTCAGATTATACAACCATACAAAAACCAGTAGAGATCTGTAAATTTTTGAACCCCCATGAAAAGATAAAGCAACACTTATTAAGTTGAGGCAGTTTCCTGGAAAAAGTTACAGTGAAAATGGGGGAACACTTGACAGGGACTTTATTAGGGCCTGTCACCTATGCCATCACTGGATTCACTTGTGGACACCTCCATTACTTCTCCTGTGACCTTACAACGGTGCTTCAATGCCCGATCATAAGCTTGCTGTACTGACTTGCGCACAGCTGACTTGCGTCCCTCCAAGAGTTTGACTTGGTCCAGGCCTGAGTCTACCCCCAGCGGTTCAAGCTTGGATCTCGGAAGCCATTGCCTAGAGGAAAGGGAGCACATTTGTCTTGAACCACAGACTAAAAATCAAATGAACATTCAAAGATGTGATGTTTAACAGTGAAGGCAAAAAATGTCATTCTAAAGTTTGTTTTCTGAAACAGCACTGGTTTTGCACTTACAATCAACTGTGCTATGAAGAAAACCTAAGGAAATTCCTCTCTGTGTACTTGAATCCATGTACACGTACATGGACAGTGAGTGAGTATTGTTCCATACCATGCTTGTGTGAGCAGTGGATTCTGAGACCAATGAAATGTGGATTTTTTATGCATCGATAGTGGATGGCAGTGCTCTGAACAGCCACTCAAAGAACTGTGCATACACACTCGGGTTAAAATGCTTATCCACTTGCCTCCTGGGTTCCAGGCTCCGGGTACCTTGGGGTTTGCATGCATAGCCGGGGTGCCCGAAATCGGACAAAGGAGATGGGCCGTGTGACAAAAGAGCGTACTTGGAACAAAAGACCTAGATGCTGGGAATCGCCATCATTTTTCAGTTGGCATTAGCGGAGGTAATCCATCATTTTTTTGAAATGGTGTACCACTGTCTGTGGAATCCAGCACCTTCAGATTATAAGCGGGGACAAAAGTGCTCCAGCATGCCAGCGATGAGCAATACAGTACCACTGCACGCTAATCTGGCCGCATTTGAAAAGACACCACTACCATTCAGAAATGCACTGGGCTAATTTCGGGAACGAAGGGAATTATGCAACACCGCAAAATCTGGGCTCTCTTTACTGGGCGGCAGGCCTAGCTGCAATACTCAGGCATCAATGGAGGGTGCCTGTCCAATTAGAGTAGCACCAGACACTCATTTATGTGGGTGTAAATGAAGTGATGAATTTTTAAAGAAGACAACGGAAAATCTTGAAAATCGCCCGGAAACCGTTCTTGGTACAAAAGACCAAGCTGCTGAGAATTGCCAACATTTTTTCAGTTGTCAATAGCAGAGATCTATCGTTGTTTTGAAAGATTATACCACTGTTTGTGGCATTCAGTGAGAGTGGATTACCACTGGGGAAAAAGTGCTCCAGCACTCCAGTGATGAGCTAATCTGGCCTTTATTGAAAAGGCGCTAGCAGCACACTGTGCCAGTTTTGGGAACAAAAGGAGCTTATGTAACGCCACACAATCTTGACTCTTTTTACAAGGCCACAGGCCTGGCTGAAATACTCAGGCATCAATAGATGTTATCTGTCAGATAGAGTAGCCACCAGACAGTCACTCGATGGGGTTAAGGCATTAAGAAAAGATATCAACTTTTGAATATTTTTGGAAACCGAAGATATTGAAAATTGCCCAGTTTTGGACACTGCGTTTCCAAAGGCACCTGGCAGCAAGTGGTAAAGCTGCAAGAAAGCTATTTATAGGAAAAGTGACCATATGAATTACTTCTTGCACATAAGCCCCTGTAGTGCACACTGATGAATAAGGTCATTTTAGGTGAAAGAAGTACAATACAATTTCTGTAATAAATTATTAACCCTAACCCCATAGAATGTATGCAAATTATGAACTGGATTGGAGACTGTTAAAGTTTTGTTACCGTTACCTTGACATTTGTCACCAAAGTATAGTGAAGCCAGACATTACTTTGAAGGTACAGTTAAAGAATATGTACTGAAGTAAAATGGGAAGCTGAAGTCATAATTATATTTTCCACTGACTGAACACACTACAAAACTGTTCTCTTCAACTTTTAGAAGGCAGAGGACTGAATGTGCTGCTTTCTACCATTTTCATCATTATCATGCAGTTTGGCTTACCATGTTCTCTTGTTATCAAAGAAGAGTACCAGGTACAGATGTTCATCAATGACAGCTCGTTGGTTTAAGACTTCCATGGGAGGTACAGGGATGGGGACACCATTATGGCAGAAGCCAGACCTGGGCATCTTGGGGTTGATTATCTGTTGAATAGAATAGACAAATGACAATCAGTCTTATTAATTGCAGAGATACCCCAAAGACAGAGATGCCATTTTCAAACTGATAACTTGTCCATTATCTCATCTTGACTGGTGGCACACACCACACATAAAACTGATGGGGCATTTTTAATTTGAAAGTATGATCTTCAGCGCAGCTTTTTTAATATGGTTACTCTGACATGATCCAACACTACTCTCGCTGATCTTTTGGATAAAAGCAACCAAAAAACCTCTCCAAACAAATGCATTTTGTCAGATTCAGG